TGCACTCCTGAAGACCTATATGAAATAAAGGTCATGCTTAAGCAAACTTTTAGTAACAAATTTTTGCATACTAAACACTTTCCTATTGACATTCCAAATAGGGATGATCAAAGTATTATAATAGAACAAATACATATTAGAGCTCATCGTAGTTATGATGAGAATATTAAACAAATAACTGCCATGTACTATTGGCCTGAAATGTTTAAACAATTACGAGAATATTGTAGAAACTGCGTGATATGTAATACTAATAAATATGATAGGCATCCACAGAAGATACCTATAAAGGAAGCTCCAATTCCAACAAAAGTAGGCGAAAATCTACATATTGATATATTTTACGCTCAAAAATTAAAATTTATTACATGCTTGGACTCTTACTCAAAGTTTTTAATTATAAAAACCATAGAGAACAAATTTAATTTAGATGAAAAAATTCTAGAAATATTACAAACATTCCCAGAAGCTAAACATATTACTCTGGATAATGAACCAAGCTTGAGCACCCCTCAGTTCAAATCTCTCATGCAAAGGATGAATATCCTTCTTTACTATTGTGATCCCCGTCACAGTACAACAAATGGACAAGTGGAAAGAGTCCACTCAACAATTGTTGAGATTGGCAGATGTATTAAACAAGAATATAATCTTGTAAATGACCTAGAAGTCATATTGAGATCTGCCCAACAATATAATAAAACAATCCACACAATCATAAAAGAAAGACCAAATGATGTATTCTTTAACAAAATTAATCATGAACATATTCATGAAAAATTGAAAACGGCACAAGCACGAATGCTAAAATGCCATAATAAAAATCGCTTAGATAAAAGCTTTGATGTAGGCCAGGTCATATATGAAAGAATTATTGGTGAACGAAACAAGTTACAACCAAGATTTAAAAGACAAATAGTAAAAGAAGACCTTGGTAATAAAATTAGAATAAATAATAGGAATAGAATTATTCATAAGGATAATATAAAAAATAAATTTATATAAAATAAATCCTTTTTTATTTCAGCATGTTTGTATATATCAAACTAATTATACTGATATTATCAGTAAATGGAGAAATAATAGACTATACTAGGGATAATTACATATTAATAAAAAATAATGACGCCTTGACATATTATAATTATAGTGACATTCTACACGTCACTAACTTAACCTATTATAGAGACATTCTAAGTGACGAAAAGCAATTTTTCGAAATTGAAAAGAAAAAACATTCTTACAACCAAGCAGAATTCATCGACGTAGAAATGGAAATAGAACTAGTAGAAACTCTACTCTGTCAACTCGAGAATAAAAGATTCAAAAGAGGAATAAATGAATTAGGCACCGTCTGGAAATGGATAACGGGAACCCCCGACCATGACGACTTTGTACAAATAACAAGTAAAATAAATGACCTAATCATAAACAATAACAAACAATATTCTACGAATTCAGAATTGTTTAAAACAATTCGAAGGTTAACTCAAACGGTGGACACATTAACAGGACACGTATATCAAAAAATTGTGCGAAGGCACAGACTAAAAATCATAATAACTGAATTACAAAATACTATTCAGACAATAGCTTTAGCAAAAGCAAACATTTTATATCCATCCGTGTTACACCTTGAAGAAATTAAAGATATACTTCAACATGAATATAAACAAATTTCTATAATCGATCTGCTGGACGTCTCTACTTTCAAAATTGTCCAAAAAAATTCATTAATAATAATATATATCAAGTATCCTCTGATAACTGATAGATGTATTCTTTTCGAAACAAGGCCTATATTCCAGTCTGATGGAAAGTTAATTATCCCAAACGAAATAATAAAATGTCAAAGTATCTACTATAATATTGATAATTGTAAAGTAGAACTAAAGAATATATATTGTAAAATAAATAATGAAAATAATTGTCTTTCTGATATTTTAAATAGAAGACAAACAAATTGTAAAAAGTCTAAAGAAAAAAATAAAAATATAGATATAATAAAAGAAGGGGCAATACTTCTTACCGGAAATCACTCTGTTAATAATAATAATATTTCCGGAACTTACTTAATTACTTTTAATGATACAATAAACATAGATAATGTTATATATGAAAACACAGAAAATAAAATAAATTTATACATTTTGAACCATTATTTTAACGATTTTAATGTCACTGAATATGTTGATTCAAGTGAACAAAAAATTAAATTAAATAACAGAGATTTAATTAATATATTAAAAAATGATTATAATGAAAGCCCCATTTCTTTATCTACATTATCAATTGTAATAATATAAGTTATTATATATAGTAGCTATAAATGCTACAAATATTTTAAAATTAAACCGAAAACGACAACAGTTGATAAGGATCAAGACATTGTATTCAATGCCTTAGATCAACAAATTTCTGATTTCATGAATCGGGACGATTCATCTTAGACAGGGGGGAGTTAACACCCTGTATCACTATAACGGCACTTTGCCGTTACACACAATTTTTGTATCTCAAGTATGCGCATCTTAGAATTGCGCATTAAGATATTTCATAACGCCTACGCGCGTTTGTATATTTAATTTCAGTCAGGCTTATTGCCTGCACTTCTTATGGCAACAATGTTGCAAAAGAAAACAAAATTGTTTTTCTTTAAAGACGCAACTATGTTGTGCAAAACAGATCAAGTATCATTTGAAATACTTGATCGATGAATTGTTCAATCATTATTGGACAAAGATATCGTCATCTGGCTACTGACGCCAAAGCTAAAGACGCTGACGAGGTGCTTTAGCAAATAGAAGCTCCAATCCTATTGGATGGAGAAAAGACGCTTCTAGAAAATTCTTAGGAATTTTAGAAGCCTGAATTCAATTGGATAAAATCCAATTTCAGATTTTGAATAACGACTTCAGGCATCAAAGGAAAAACTTTGAATTGTCAGTCGTTAGGAAAGGTTAAAAACAAACGGTCGAGTCGTTAAGAAAAGAGTCAATATAAACGGTTCAGTTAAAGAGTCTTAGAAAGCTGTCTTTAAAAATAAAGTTGTTTGTCGGTTCCTCTAAAAAACAAAAATTAAATATATCTTATAAAATAAATATTTAAGAACTAATAATAAAAAATTGTATCTAAACTTATTTATAATAAAAATAAACACATTAAAAAATAAAATATAATTTTTTAAAAATATTAATATATGAACCCGAATATTAATTTGCATGTATAATACATTTAGTTTATTTATTACATCAGTTATTGTCAAATAAAAGGCTTGAGTATTCGTTTGATACTGATTTATTTCTTAAAATACTACGGTTTATATACACAATTTTTGTCTTAGAAATTAAGGGTGAAATAATCTTACTCAGCATGTGTTCAATGTTATCATTAACAATATTGCATTTGTTTTTAGTGGACTGTATTTTCTGGTTCTTACAATTTACATTAGTGATAAAAAAAGATTTTAGTGCTACACATGCTCATATGCTATTTTGGTATTATTTGTTTAGAATTAATTAAATCTATCTATATTTATCTTTACAATCCCATGCAGAGACGCCTTGATGGCATTTGTTACAATAATGATAAATATAAATTTGGTATTTAAGTTTTATGTAAGCAATGTGGAGAACCTATTATTTACTTAGGTTCAATTATCAATATGATTACAGTTGTTGGATTGCTTATTTTTACTTTTGTTGTTCTGGAAAAGTATTTTATGATTTTATTTCTCTTTATTCAAATAACAGATAAAGCATGTTCATTATTGAACATTCTGCCAGAACTTTTAAATGCAGAGTCATGTAAAGATCGAATTAAATAAAATATAATTTTAACAGATAATATAAAATAATAAGATTATATAATTAACATTATGGTATATAAATTAAAACAATGTTCATTCTTGAACATTCTGCCATCTCATTTAAAACGCAGAGTCGTGGATTCTGCACAATAATTATTTCAATATATAATAAAATATAATCTGACATAGTTACAAAAGGTTGAATTAAATATAATTTTTTTTTAAAAATAATATAATAGGATTGTATTAACATTATGCATGAAAGAATATTTTTAAATTTCGTACAATTTTTCATAACTTATAATCTATGTTCACTCCTGAACATTCTGCCGGCGGGTAGAAATTGCAATAGCTAGTAGTTGTCTTCTTCTTATTGTTGCTCGAACTAGGTAGATTATTATTGCTATTATCACTATTGTAGTTAACCCAAGTGCTGCGTGCCCAGATACGTGATGAAAATGCAAATCTTTTAGTTTCACTGCGTTACTCTTTATATCGTTTAGTTGCATATTTATTTGATTAATTTCTTCTTTGTTATTTATTTTCCAATGGTGCCAGGGTTTTATATTACTATTATTTATTATAATTGCATCTTTAGTAACTGGCTTGATTACTTCTACTATCGTGGAGCTTTGCAGATTACTAGAGGATGTTAATGTTGTTTCTCTTATACGTGCCATACATCCTTCTGTTAGTGATAGAATGCCTTGACCTGATAGAGTTATTATTTCTTCCATTGAATTTGAGCATCTAATGTGGGCAGATTCTTGTCTAAAAGTTTTGAATATCCAACTATTCTGTCGGTATAATTTGACCCAAATGGAAGAATTATTTACTTCTTCGTAGTGACAATTATCTTGATTAGTTGGTTTTAGTGGTGATATTTCACAAGAATTATCGTTTGCATCCTTCCACGGAAAATTACCTTCACAAGTAAATTGTTGTTCTTCTATCTTATTGCGTTGACTCCATGTCAGAGGATCCATCAATTGATATGCATTTATTTCGAGATTATATAGTAAAAATGATGACATAACTTTCGGAATTATATATTTTACACCTTGATTGATTGATATAGGTATTATTTTATATATCGTAGATGATTGCTTGCTGAACAGTGGAATTTTTGCGTTAATTACTAATTTGTTTCCAATAAATAGCCCTTTTGCTTTTAATAACTTGTATATGGGTTCTAACTCCGTTCCAGTTTTTTACCAGGTAGCATTTGATTTTCGGGAATTATATCTCTTATTTTTATTATTTCGCGATGTAACTGTGATGGTTTTATAAGTGCTGGATTTAATTTTCCATGGTTAACGTCCATTAAGAGTTCCATTACTTCAGATTGAATTTGAGAACATTCTTCTATCATATCTGATAACTGTCTTGTTACCATAAAAAAATTTATTGATTCCTTATAAACAAGATAAGTTTCATTCAAAGCAGTGTTTATGGATTCAACTCTTTCATGAATTTCATTGTATTGTTGCTGAATTTCTTCAGATGTGCGTTTTAATATATTTACTGTTGTTTCTACTACCGACGTTTGTCTTTCAGTCATCTTTTTTAAATTATGTTGATTTTCTAGAAGATTATTCATATCTTCTTCTAAAGCTTTTCGGTCATCTTCATCCATCATTCCGAATAGGAGGTGATAAAATGAACCAATGAATGCCAACGGCGCTCTTTTTCTCTTCTCTCGTACAGACCATATAAATAACTTATTACCATCGTTTATATCTGATAATTTTCTCAGCATTGTATTTAATATATTCTTACATTGGTCAGCAAAATTTAGTAATTTGGGACATATATTATTAGCTTTGCTAAGAATATCCTCTGCGTTTTTAGCCATATCAAAGTATGGTTGCATATCATAATATATTATTAGATTCCAAGCTGATGTTTCTGAAGTGACTTCTCCAATCATGTCCAAATATAACGTTGTTTTATTATTTAGTTCTTGTACTGACGCAACTGATGATTTTACCACTGCTTTTACTTTTGGTAAAACACATAACATTAAAAAATACAAGGTGGTCCATGCTAGCTTTGTGGTTCTTAATTTTACGTTTGATTTTATGTTTAAGTTGCAATAAACTTCGTCTGTTTTCGCCTGGTTCTTATCATAGATTGTGTCAGAATCCATCAAGGAGCAAAGTTTGTGAATTGGTCTTTTTAATTTTCCATTTTTAGTTTTAAGCTCTACTACTCGTACTTTTCCATCCTTACCTTTAAATACTTCTGTAATTTTTCCTAATGGCCATCTAGTAGGCGCGGTATTTTCATCTTTAATAATTACTACTTGCCCCTCTGCTAAGTTCGGTTTTTCTCTAAACCATTTGTTTCGTTTTTGTAGAGACGTGACATATTCATTTTTCCATTTTTTCCAAAAATCTGTTTTAATTTTTTGTACAAGTTTCCAACGGTTTATTAAACTTATATTATTTTTGACTTCAGTTTCTGGTTCGTCTAATATTGGACGACCTATTAAGAAATGTCCAGGTGTAAGAACATCAATACTGTCTATATCGCTACTTGTATAGCAAAGTGGTCGTGAATTGAGTACTGCTTCAATTTGATTTAGAAGTGTAGTCATCTCTTCAAATGTTAGTTTTGTTTCACCTATTACGCGCTTCAAATGATATTTCACGGATTTTACAGCAGCTTCCCATATACCGCCAAAATGCGGACTTGCCGGAGGAATAAAATGCCATTCAATTTTTTCTGCTGCAAGAATTGGTACCATCGATGTATTATTTTTGATCGCATTTCCAAACTCTTTATCTAATTTTTTTAATGCGCCAATAAAATTAGTGCCATTATCTGAATATAAATGTGCACTCTTCCCACGCTTTGAAAAGAACCTTTTTAATGCAGCTATAAATGCTTCTGATGATAAGTCGCTTACTGCCTCTAAATGAATTGTTTTTGTGCACATGCATACAAATACTGCGATGTAACCTTTGAATGATTTTTGACCGCGACCTTTAGAATACCTCATGTATATGGGTCCTGCGTAATCAATACCTGTGTGTTCGAATGGATGGGATATATTTATTCTGTAACTAGGTATATATCCCATTATTTGTTTAGCAAAATTTTGATTGAATCGAATGCATCTTATACACTTGTGGCATATCTTTTTTATAGTTTTCCTCATTCCTAATATCCAAAATCGTCGTTTTATATGTGTTTCCATCGATGATTGCCCACCATGTAGTGTTGATTGATGTGCTTGATATATTACTAATTCTGAATATCGATCTTTAGCTAGAATCACTGGATGTATTTGATTATATGTAATGTTCGCGTTTTGTAGTCCTCCTCCTACTCTTAATATTCCATTTTTATCTATAAATGGTCGTAATTGAATTAGTTTGCTATTCATATTTATTTCCTTCCCTTGTTTAATGCTTGATATTTCTGAAGAAAAATGTGTAAGTTGGTGCTGACGAATTATTTTATTTCTTGCTTTATCTAGTTCTTCCTTTGATAAATGATTTGAATTTTTTGATTTATTTTTCAAACAGTTAATAAATCGTAAAACATATGCCATGGTTCTTTCTAGTTTTGATAATTTTGATATTTTTTCTATCAAATCGCTCAAAAAATTATTATTTGAAATTAAAGTCGTGATAACTGTTGACATTCCATTTAATTTTTCATCATTTGGCCATTCTTCCTTTGGTTTTACTAACCATGCAGGCTCATGCCACCATAGCATGTAATCTTTTAATTTGTTTGCACAGATGCCTCTAGATGCTACATCAGCTGGATTATCTTTTGATCTTATATGACGCCATTCAGTTTCTGGAATTAAATTTTTAATTTCTGTTGCACGAGTTCTTACAAACTTCTCTTTGTTTTTGTCACTCCAACAATAAGTTTTTGGATTCGTATTTAAAATTTTAATTATTTTACTCATTAGTTTTGCTAATAAATGAGCTCCACATAGTTCTAGCTTGGGAATAGTCTTCTTGTTTTTTATTGGTGCTACTTTGCTCTTTGCAGTCAATAGGTTTATATGTAAACCGATTTTGATGTATATTACCGCTGCATAAGCGGCTTCAGATGCATCCGAGAATCCATGTAACTCCCAATTATCTGAACTCGAGACTCCCATCCATCTTGGAATTCGAATTTGCTCCACTGTTTGTATATTTTTATTATATTCTTCGAATTCATTATGAATTTGCTCATTTAAGTTTTCATCCCAATCATATTTTAATTGCCAAAGTTTTTGAATAAATAATTTTGCGATAATTGTTATTGGTGTTAACCAACCTAATGGGTCAAAAATTTTTGCGTATATTGACAATACCATTCTTTTAGTTATTTTCTCATTTGATAATATATTTATTGTGAATTGGAATTCATCCTTTTTTGGATTCCATTTCAATCCTAGTGTTTTTATTGAATTATCTTCCTCTATGCACAGTATTTTATTTTCGGCATCAATGGGAAGATTTTTCAAGATTGATTGATTATTGGACATCCATTTCCGCAATTTAAATCCAGCGCTGCTTAAACATTTGAAAATTGTATTGATTTTATTTCTACAATCTAATTTTGTATCAGCGCCAGTCAATAAGTCATCCATATAAAAATCATCTTTAATTGTATTTTTAATAAGAATGTCTCCATTATAGTCTTCAGCAATTTGTTGTAATGTGCGAACTGCTAAAAATGGGGCCGAAGCAGTTCCATAAGTAACTGTGGTTAATTTAAAATCCGCAATTCTGTCTGTTGGATTTTCTCTCCAAAGTATGCGTTGATAATCTTGATGCTCTTCTGCAATTTTTATTTGTCTATACATTTTTTCCACATCTGCTGTCACCACAAATTTCCATAACCTCCATTTTATTATTATGTCAAATATGTCTTCATTTGTCCATTATGTGAAGACTATTTCCATTTGTTGTTTTAGCGGACGCATCAAAAACTACACGTAGTTTCGTTGTTGAACTTGCTTCTCTGATTACAGCCTGATGAGGCATATAGTACAACCCTTCATTTTCATTTTCTGCTTTGACCATATGACCTAAACGTTCGTATTCTCGCATAAACTCTATGTATTCTGACTTAATTTCTTTCTTCATTTTCTTCTCTAGGTTGATTAGTCTTGCTACTGCTTGTTTTCTAGAATTCCCTAAAGACACTTCTTCTTTAAATGGGATTTGCACCATGTATCTACCGTCTGTATCTCTTGTTGTAGTTGTTTTATATAGTTCTTGACATTTTTCATCTTCTTGTAAGTTTGTGTTGTTTTCATCGTCTATTTCCCAAAATCGCTCTAAATTTAAAGCTGATATTGCTTGATTTTTTATTGTATTTGTTGGTAATTGACCAGATATTATCCACCCAAATATAGTTTCTTGTCCGACTACATCGTTATATTTTTTAATACCTTCTTTTATTATTTTTGGATAAAGATCGCTTCCTATTATTAAATCAATACGATCGCTTTTATTAAATTCAGGATCCGCCAACTTATAAGTATCCCAAACAGCGTCTTCAACTTCTATTGGTTCTTCTGGCAATAATTTTATTAGATGGGATATCACCAAAAATTCTCCTTTAACTTTATTTTTATTATTGAATCTCGATGATATTTCCATAAATACTTTTGAATTCGATGTAGCCATGTTTACATTAGATAGTCCTGATAGTTTGGTTTTATATCTAATTTTCTTTAACAATAATGAATGAGCTAATTTTTCTGATACCATAGATACTTGTGAGCCTTGATCAATCAAAGCTCTCAATTCATGATTATCTCCATTTGAAGATTTCGTGCTGATTAATACAGTTGGGAGTAGAGTTATTTTCTTCTTGTCTTTTTTTATTATTGTGGAGCAGGTTTTCTCGTCTTTATTAATTTTCGTGTTGACTCTAACATTTTTTTGATTGTAATCCATATGTAAAAGAGAATTATGAGCTTTATTACATTTTTTGCATCTGAACATAGAGTAGCATTTACTGCGATTATTATGACTTAAACATGTTTCACATAGTTGTTTATTACGTACTATCGTTGTTCGCTGACTAACTGACATGTCCAAGAATTTGCTGCAATTATACATTCGATGTCCTATTTGATTACAACATTGGCATCGAATGGAAGTGTTTTGAGTTTTTGAAACGTATGTTGGAATAATTGAATCTATTCTTGTGGCTTTCAACCTATTTTGAGCTTCAAGAGTTTGGAATTGTTGTTCTAAAAATTCAAATACATCTTTTAACATCTGTATCTGCCTTGGTTTTTTAACGTGCTGTTCGTATAATTGTATACCTTCTTTATCTAATTTTCTCAAAATAATGTGCGCAAATAATTTGTCACAATTAGATTCAATATCATTATCTGAGTTAAATTCAATCATCTGAATGCATTGTTTAGCTGTATCATGTGAAGTTTTTAAGCTTGTAACTGATGATGAGTTAATTGTTTTCATATCAAGTAACTTATCGAACTGTTGTGAGAAATTCAACCGTTTGTTCTCATATCTTGTTTTCAGTGTATACCAAGCAGTATCGTAATTTGCTGATGACCCATTTAATAAGTGGCTTATTGCCATACGTGCTTCTCCTTTTACATGGGATCTTAAGTAGTCTAATTTCATTGAAGATGATAACATATGATTATAGTGTACTTAATCTGTGAATAGATCTACAAAATTTTGCCATTCTTCAAATTTACCGTAGAAATCAGGTAATCTTGTAGGAGGTGTTTCAATTTGTCTTTGCACAGTGGGTTGAATTATTTGCTTATTGGATTCATCAGTAGCTTTAATATTTAATATTATTTCAATTTCGCTTTTAAGTGTTTTTAGTTTATATATTTTTTGTAAATGAATAGTTTGCTCGTCATTTAATTTTTCTAGTATAAGCTGTAGATCTTCGTAGTATTTTTCTATTGTTTGTATTAATAAATTTCGTGCATAAGTATCAGGAGTATTATGTAACATACGATGAACCGTTCCTTCTAATTTTTTGATTAAATGTACCGACATCTCCCAATTTTCGTCAGTTTTTATAATTTCTGATTTGTTTGTTACTAATATTTCTTCTACATCTTCTGATTTGTGTTCTTCACTTTCCATATTTAATAAATTTTTTACTCCAATATATTTTTCTCTCGTTTGGTTATATAATGCGTCATTAAAATATGGTATATCTTCTATTCCAAACTTATTTAATTTCTTATCGTTCTCAGAAAAATTTTTCCAATCTTCTTCTAATACTTCTAAAGCTTCAGTTTTACGATTCCTAGTTTTTATTTCTTTAGCTTGTTGTATGAACTTTTCTAACTTTTCTATTAGCTTATATTGAGCTGTTAGTAAGTCTGTTTGAATTGCTGTTATTAGTCCCATTTCAAAAATTATAGTTTTTAGAAATATTTTTTATTTATCTTTATTATTTTTAAGTTTTTTTATTTTTTCTTGAATTAATAACCTGTCTTCTTTATTTGTTTGAAGATGTAATTGCTGATACAGAAGTGCGAACTTTTTTCTCCTTTGGAATTCCTTCCCTGCCCGTTTTCTTTTCTTCTTAGCTGGAGGTTTTGGACTTGGTAGTCTTATTGGTTTTTGCCTCTTTCTATACTCCTCTATGGTAAGCCGTTTCGGACCTTGGTTTTTAATTACACTTGGCGTGTATTTCGGATAGGAATGATGGCGTGTTGGATTTGGATCATATTCTTCGATCTTTCTCAATTTTTCTTCTTGGTTCATCTAAAACATGAGAAAAATGTATATAAATTTCCTATTTATCCGACAAAAAGAAGAAACGTCCTAATTTCTGGCCTGGAAGATTTTCCTAAGTACCTTTTTTTCCTAAAGGCTGTTAGGTTCAGCCAATGTTATTGGGCGTTCTTTTCGAACAGCCAAGGCGTTATATCTTTAAAATCTTAGCTATTTAGCTAAAATAATAAATCCTTTTTTATTATAATCTTCCTTAATGAAAGTTATAACAAAAAATTGTTTAGTCTTAATTGACCTTTTTTGTTTTAGGCTCTTAAAAGGCTCTAAATTTATTTTATTATTTGTTCTTATAGAGTTTGTAAGGCTCTAAATTTATATTTGTTCTTATTGAACTTTTAATTTAGAGTTTGTAAGGCTCTAAATTTATATTTGTTCTTATTGAACTTTTAGGCTCTTAAAAGGCTCTAAATTTATTTTATAATTTGTTCTTATAGAGTTTGTAATTTAGAGTTTGTAAGGCTCTAAATTTATATTTGTTCTTATTGAACTTTTAATTTAGAGTTTGTAAGGCTCTAAATTTATATTTGTTCTTATTGAACTTTTAGGCTCTTAAAAGGCTCTAAATTTATTTTATTATTAGTTAAGTGTCTTACCGCTGGTGGGGGATCACTTTAACTAATTAAATATATTTTTCTTTCTTTTTAGGAAAGGTTTAATATTTTCTTACAAGTGTCTTACCACTGGTGGGGGATCACTTGAAGAATTTTATTTTATATTTAGCCAATTTCATTGACTTCGAAGGACCAAAATGTCAAATAAAAAGCTTGAGTATTCGTTTGATACTGATTTTATTTTGAAAATTATTCTCTATTTATACAAAATTGTCTTAACATAACTTAACTACATTTACAAATAAGGGTTGAAATAATTTGTTGCCTGTTATCATTTATTTTAGTGGACTGTATAATTTTAGTTGCATTTTATTGCTGTCGCAAAGGTTCATAAAATTCTGCCACGTAGGATTTTTATTATTTTACAATTATATTTTTATTATCGATACGGTGCCATGTATTTTAAAATGTGTTTAATATTCTTCAATATCTTTAGTTTTGGGATTTTTTTATTACCCGTGTTTTTTCCTTCTTATTTAATTCTAAGAATTTAAACGATAACAGACATAAATAAATAACTATAAATTTAGGCACATCCTGCCAGCGTTTGAAAAAAGATACAATTTTAATTTTAATAGTTTTAGGATTGTATGTCCTAAAATAACATGTTCATTATTGAACACTAACTCTCCCTCCTTCTTGGGAATTGGTGCCCCACCAATTGGTACCTTTTGAGGATTTCTATCATACTTATTTCTATTACAAATCCCACAATGTCTTACGAATTCTTTAAAATGTTGGGCCATTTTGGGCCAATAATGTGTGGTAAAGATTTGTTTTAAATTTTCCCTATAATTTCTGTGTGCACGTGTATGTGTTTGTTCTACTATTGCTTTTTGATCGTCCGCGTTAAGGACGTCTATTGGAAAATTCTTAGTGTACGTGAATTTTATGTCAGTGAATGTTTCAATTAAGTGGTTTTTAATTTCGTAAAGATCTTCAGGTGTGCAATAGATTGCAGTCACAACTTTTGGTTGAAGGTATTCCTTCAGAATTGTTAAGAGATTTTCGACTGTATCATATTCTATAATATGACGTGTTTTATCGAAATTTGTAATTTGTTCATGTATAGTATATCTAGCTTTTGATAGTAAGATTTGCTGCTTAAATTGATTAAGTGGTTTTGTCGTTTCTTTTATGGTAGTGTTATCACTACTTTCTGCAGAGTGTTGTGTAGAGGTGATTGAAGAGTTTTCTGGAAGATGATTTAAATATTGCCGTGACAGGGCGTCTGCCACAACATTTGTGGTTCCTGGTTTGTAGATAATTTTTGGTGCGAATTCTTCAACGAATGCGATCCATCTTTTTATCTTGGCATTAGGATTTCGCGTTGATACGGCGAATGTTAAGGGTTGATGATCAGTATGAATTTCTAAATCTGAGACCCCGTATAAGTAGTTTCGTAATGATTTTAGTGCCCACACTATTGCATATAGTTCTTTTTC